TGACGGAGGATGAGTGGGTGAGCGGTGATCTGCTATAGTGTTTTCCAGGAAAATGGGTGAGTCATTTACATTAGGAGCATTTTTAAAAGCTGTCTGGGATTTCTGTATCATCGTTGTCTTTGGCATATTCTATGCAAATGCCAAACATAAATTAAATAGTGGTGGTGGTGAGTCAAAATGAGCTAAATGTGATTGGTGGGCTTTTCAACAAACACTAGCAACACTGTTTCTTAGCTGTAAGGGGTAAACATAATATTCTTTGATATCTGCACCAGAATGGCAACAGTTTTTCCCCCCTATGTATAAAACAATAAACAGGAATTTACAGGATACCATGGCATTACTTAGCTATAGCTGGTAGTCATTGGCCCATATTGAAGCTGTATTATTGTACAGGCCAATCACATCAGGGTTCAACAACAACAACAACAACAAAAAACGTCTGTAATGAATTTCGAGCCATTTGACAGAACTGTCACTTGCCCTTATGGGACAATGCTGCAAACATGACAACAATAAACATCAGTAATGTTTTGCATCACATGCCATTGTCTTCCAGCAAACTTTTTTTTTTTTTTTAATGAATTTATGAAGTACCATTATATAATAACTTTAGGAAACTAAACATTTAACGAACACATAAAATATACATTAAATATTTAATACCGAGATATTTTATAAACAAATGTTTAATAAATAACTATTAAATCAATTAATCAGTCAATCTTTTTTGGTGCTGGCAAAAAAAAAAAAGTTAAAAAAGTAAAAACTACTTGCCCGACAGAAACAAAAATCCTTATTTTTGAGCCCTGCTTATGACACTGTAATGTGAATGTTCTCTAACCAGTGTTATTTTAGTATTATTTATGTACTCTTTTAATGTTACTGAAAATGATTTGTAATTATTTTATTTTATTATTTTTAATTAACAATACTGTTTTTGTGCATAATATTCTTGATCTTAATATTGATATGATATTGTTTCACAGATCCTTTTTATTTGTATGCCTATACAGGCCAGGGTCCATCTATCTTCTCACACTTGGAAACTATCAGCAGTATTTTGATCTTGGCCAGAACAACACATGTGTTTTTACCTTGATCTACCTCTATTAACCAAAAAATAGTCACCTGCTGTTCCATAACTAATAGGCCACTGATGCATGCATTAGAGACGAAAAGAAAAAAACTATCACCCACTCAACGCTGCGACTCCAATCACAGTCAGTTGAATCAGTCTGTCTGCAGTCGGCTCCAACAAAAAGCTGTGAAGTGCTCTTGGTGGAGACAGCGCTGTCTGTAACAGGCTACCGACAGGGCTCAGTCAATACATGTCACAGCCACTGGAGAGAAACTAAATGAGATTTTCTGACTGGCTCCTTTTAACTCTTCCTTTTTTCTCTCTTCCTCCCTCCCTTCTTCCATCAGTAGCTTCCTCTCAGCCACTTTCCACCCCCTCCATCTGCCATACTGCCACTTTGACAAGCCGCCACAGTTGTCAAATAAGGAAAACATGTTGGAGGTGATGTTTTTTGAGTTCCTTGTCAAAGGAGCCTTTATCAGGCTCAGTTCTCGAATATCTAACAGTGCTGTTTATATTAGTAGGAGTGTATTGTGAAGCTGAAACATACTCATAGGTTTGCTTTTAGCACCTCGGCTAAACGCAGCTGCTTTTTAGGGAAGCAATGTGAGTGTGTAAGTGCGTGTGTATGCGTATGTGTGTGTGCCTTGTACCTATTCAGTGCCATGGGACGAGATGTTGCCACAGTGGCTTTGCTGTCTTCCTTTTAACTGCTGGCAAGAAGCCTGTGAGGTCTGCCTTAGGGCCAGGGCTAAATTTAAGTTTGCCGCTCACAGCCCTCATCAGTAGCATCAAAACAACCATTAACTGCGGATCAGTTTGCCTCTCACGACTGCCAGCTCCCAGCGGACGCCACTCATAACAGGGCCAAAGAGAGAGAATCACACAGGAGCATGTCCCTTTAGCCCATGTGTCTGCACTGCTACAAGCCAAAGCTAACGATCACTCCTGAGCCCTCGCTGTGCACACACACACACACACACACACACACACACACACACGTATTTATACACATATGTGCGCTTGTGTAGATAGCATGCAAACAGACCAAAGCTCAAGACCACAAGGATCATGTGTAACTGAAGACTGGACTGGAGTAATGGCTGATGAAAATTACAATTTGACAATATTTTATAATCAAATAAATGCAGACTTAGTGAGCTCACGAGACTTCTATCAAAAACATTTAAAAAATCTTACCAATATATTTATATCATTATGTATAGTACTTCTTCTTTATCTTTATATCACCATGTGCATGGGGGTTGCCTGATAATGAGTCCGTTTTGCCATCATCTGATATATGTCACACATTCCAGAGAATGTGCTGATTCAGACAACACTGTTTTTGTCTTTTTACTTCTGAAAAGATACACATCAACAATGTAAGTAGTACTGAACTTACATTTTAATGAGTTTTCACCGTCATGCTGTAAATAAATGAGTGAAGCAAGTGGTTAAACAAAATTATTGCCTTTAGTTAAAGAATTGAGAGGATAGGGGAGGGGAGGAGTTCCTGAATGGTGTTTTGGGAAGGCCATCTGCTCCTGTTTATGGTTCATTAAACAAGCTACTGGGGACAGGCCGTTTGCCCTGAGAGCAACAGGTATAAAAGGACTCTGTCCCACCCTGTGAGGATAGAAGCCACTTGACTTTTTCAAACTGATGTCACAAGGCTTGTGTAGATAGCATGCAAACAGACCAAAGCTCAAGACCACAATCTTGATATGAGAACAACATGACTGACTCACATTACCCCAGGATTTCTGATCCTGATCTGAGTAATCTCTGGTCATTTTGTGCTTACGAGTAAATCTGTAATAAGTAAATTTATGTTTAAAATACCCTCTAAATCACAGGCAGGGATCTGCAACTCAGTAAATGCAGCTGCATATCGACTGAACTAATAACAAATCTGAAGACGGATTCACAGAAGTCACATTGCAGTGGACTAAAGGCACTTTGAACTGGGAAGAGCACATGGTTACCAGTGCAATTGATTTGAAGTCGATTCACGATGGAAAATCACGAACTCTGGAACATCTTCTCAAAAACACATGACTGATTATCTAGATGCATGGATTTACTTGGTGAACATGTGAAGATAAATGCATTGAAAATGAAATCGCTATTTATATCAGTACTAGCCTATTTCATTTGCTAAATTTTGAAAGTTTTCAAATTAAAAAACAACATAAAAATATTGGTAACACTTTGCTTAAAGCCTTTGTGTATAATGCGTTATAAAGGGTTAATAAAAGGTATAATGCATTATAATTATTCATAATGTGCATTGTAATACATCATATCTTGTCGTAAATAATTATAACCAAATTTAAAATTCTTAGTGTAACAATGAATTAATACAGTGTTGTAATGTATTAACTGTGGTTACAATTATGAGATTGTACAATGCATTATAAGGCACATTACAAGGCATAATTGTAATGCATTATAAATAAACGTTTTAAGTAAAGTGTTACCAAAATATTTAATATACAGTATAAATGTGTATATACATATGTATATTATTTCCAGTATACTACATTCAAAAGTTTGGGCTCCGTAATGGATTATCTATTTATTTTTTATTTATTAAAGGAATTAACATTTTTAATCAGCAAGGGTGCCTTAAATTGGTCAAAATTTAAATATTTTTAAGTCTATTTCTAATAAATGCTGTTCTTTTGAACTTCCTATTCATCAATGAATTCTTAAAAAAAAAATATATATATATATATATATGTTTTCAGAATTGGTAATAAGGAGTGTTTCCTTCTTGAGCTCCAAATCAGCATATTACATGGATTTCTGAAGGATCATGTGTAACTGAAGACTGGACTGGAGTAATGGCTGATGAAAATTACAATTTGACAATATTTTATAATCAAATAAATGCAGACTTAGTGAGCTCACGAGACTTCTATCAAAAACATTTTAAAAAATCTTACCAATATATTTATAGCATTATGTATAGTACTTCTTCTTTATCTTTATATCACCATGTGCATGGGGGTTGCCTGATAATGAGTCCGTTTTGCCATCATCTGATATATGTCACACATTCCAGAGAATGTGCTGATTCAGACAACACTGTTTTTGTCTTTTTTTTTCTGAAAAGATACACATCAACAATGTAAGTAGTACTGAACTTACATTTTAATGAGTTTTCACCGTCATGCTGTAAATAAATGAGTGAAGCAAGTGGTTAAACAAAATTATATCGGAGATCGCGCAGCTGACACATCCAGGAGAAAATAAACTTGTCAAAGCTGCCCCACGACTTTTATTAATAACAGTTTAAATACTGAATCGCTACATTATATTTTCCAGCAACGAAAGGATAAAATCGCTGTTTTTTTAAATAAACTCACTCTACTCTGAGTAACATAACCGTAAATATGAACTCATGATCGAATGTAACATAAAACAAATGAATACCTTTCGTTAAAATCTTTATTAATGCCAAAAATGCTTACATTTATGTGTCTTTTTGTTCGCTTGGGCAGCCATATTGCCCCTGAAGCCGGTTTACGCTGAGATAATTCATACCCTTTCGTTTGAAGTGTGGTCCCAAAAAATCTTTGTTTGAAGGGCTGTCTGGCCCTTCCCCTACCCCTACCCCTCCAACCAAAAGAGAATCGACACACCCCTACCCCTTCACGTGAACGCGGAAAGGGGAAGGGCTAAGGGGTAGAATTGGGATTGGGCCTTAGTCTCAACAAGATAACTTAAAGGAAGCAATGCTTATTTGCAGACTTTTAAGGCTTTAATGCAGTCTGAAGTGTCTAAACAAGTTGGCAAACAATATTGACCTAACTAACATTTCACCGAAAAGTGAATCAGCAAGGAGTTGACTTTTTTCCCAGCCTTGGGTAAACACATACAGAACTCAACATGTGAAAACACAGGTTAATCCCTATGGAAAACTCAGCAGGCAGCAGGTGCGAGGTGATAGACAAGATGCAGGCAGGTGTTCCAAGGCTTTGAGTGTGTGTGCGGCTGCCCCTCCTCTGCCTGTCAGGTGCCTCACCTGGTTGACATCTCCCTCTCCGATAATGAAGACCAGCTTGCAGTCTTTCTCCACCACAGTCCTATCCTCCAGCACACCCTGCATTTTCAGTGTGACCTCTTGACCCCAAGCCGGGGTCAGGACATTCTCGGGACTGGCCTGTAACACCTTCTTCTTTAGCAGACGGTTATCTACAGGCGGTTGGGGTAGTGGAGGGAAAACAGGGGGAGAGGAAAGAGATCAACAAGACCCTAAAGCAATAGTGTCAAACTTGAGGATGTTCTTAGGGTGGTGTTAGTGAAGGACGTCTTTCTGGTTAAGCAAGTTAAAGGTCATCATTTGCTCACCCTCATGCCATTCCAAAACTATATGACATTCTTACTTCTGTGAAACACAAAATAATATATTTTAAAGAATGTTTCAACTGTTTTTCTCCAAGTAATGAAAATCTATTGGGTTAAAACAACATCGAACTTTATTGACTTTAATTGTTTGGGCGAAAAACACTAAGACGTGAGGGTGAATAAGTGATGACAGAAATGTCATTCTTGAGAGAACTATCCCTTTAAGAAGTTTTTGGGGACATCAGCATAACATGCTGTAGACAAACATCCAAACCATAACATGCTAGTAACCAGCAATACTTGTAAAACATGCACTCTTATAGTAGAACAAGGTTCTTCAGATTATTAAAATGTTCTTCACACTGAATATGGGGTCACTTTGGCGAAATTTTGTGGGCAAAAAGGTCCATTGTTTATTGTCAATAGTGTAGTGATGTACAAAGCATGTATAGCCCCACAGAAGTTACTTTCAAACCTAGCAGCTTTCTGTTGGTCATTATGGTGGATCCCTGTGACCAACTTAAAACCTTTGTGAAATCTGCATTGGGAATTCTTTTGTCCTCATTTGAAATTCCCAATTGTGTGAATTGCCAAACAACACTAAATGTGACTGCACAGAAACCTTCACTGAAAAGATCCTTTTTGAGCCCAAAATGTTTCTAATATGGCATCACTGTAAAAATCCTTTTGGACCTCAGACTAAACAAATACGTCATTGTGGAAATCTTACCTGTAATGTCCTTCCAGTCATCTGCCAGAAACAGCTCCTCAAAGCTGGTGGTGGTCCACTCTTCTATCTCAAAGTCTGGAAAAAGAGTGTCCACTGAGCTGTCCCTTTCTTCCACTGCTTCAATTTCCATAAAACGAACTGTTTTCCCAAAGCTGGGAGTCTTTGTCAGTTTTCTGCTGTCCTTTATGTCTGATTCATTGGCCTCAGGTGGGCTGGTGCGAGAATTTGAGGAGATGGGCTCATTGGTTGGGTCGCTGCTTGAGTCATTAGCATCTGTTGGCATGTTGCTTAAGTTTTCAGCACACTTCATCTCTTCTGCCACTTTATTATCCATTCCATTTTTCATCTCACTTCCTTCTTCATTCTTGTTGTCTTCTACTGCTTTCTTCCCACCCTCTTTTTCTGTAATATTCATTCTCTGCAGCTCCGTGATTGGTTCTTCAAACACCTGCCAAGGCTGCAAAATAGCTTCTTCACTCTTCATCTCCTGTTTGTCACAAACTGTTTTCACAAACATCTCCGACTCCAACGTTGTCTCCTCTGCTTCTTCAGGTTCTGGTTCCATGTCCCCACACGGTGGACTCTATTAGAATTATCATGGAAATGCATCGCCACATGACATAAATCCCATCTGAGGTCAGTCCATTTCCTGCAGATTTTGTAAAAGGGTCTTCGTTGAAATGGTCTGCAGTGAAGAATGCAGAAAATGATCAATGGATGAGAATTGTGTTGAAATGTAAAGCCCTACTGGTCAGTAGAGTTGTGTGCAGTGATAATCTGTTGGATTAGAAGAGCAAAATCTAATCTGCCCCAACGTCTGTAAGCTTCTTAATGACTTCATCACGTCATCCCATAATGCAGTTCCCATGAATGCATCCACCAATAAGAGGACTTCAGGGACTGGTTGCTTTTTTATTTATATTATAATGTAGAAATATTTCTCAATAAATACTGTATACATCTAAATAATATTGCAATATACACTACCGTTCAAAAGTTTGGATTTGGTAAGAATTTTATTATGCTCCCTAAGGCTGCATTTGTTTGATCAGAAGTACAGTATAATATTGTCATATATTATGGCAGTTTTTTATTATTATCATTATTTTAGTATATTTTAAAATGTTATTTATTCCTGTCATGTCAACGCAGAATTTTCAGTCTTCATTGTAACATGATCCTTCAGAAATCTTACTGACCCCAAAATTTGGTGTGTATTCTAATCCAATTTTAATTATATTGGTAGAACTAAATGTAAACAGATATTTGTCTAGCTACTTATCAAAAGTACAGTGAAAAACATTTGCCATATTCTCATGAAGAGAACAGGCATTGACCGAAGATAACACACTCTGAACAGGTTTTTCCAGGTTTGCAACATGCCAAGTGTAGACGAAACATCAATGAGCCATGCATAATTTCAAGACAAGACGAGCCTTTAAATGTCCTTACACTCTTAAAAATAAAGGTGCTTCAGAAGGTTCTTCACAGCGATGCCATAGAAGAACCATTTTTGGTTCCACAAAGAACCATTCAGTCAAAGGTTCTTTAAAGAACCATCTCTTTCTTACCTTTTTGTAATCTGAAGAACCTTTTTTCACCACAAAGAACCTTTTGTGAAACAGAAAGGTTCTTCAGATGTTAAAGGTTCTTTATGGAACCATTTAGACAAAAAGGTTCTTCTATGGCATCGTGAAGCACCTTTATTTTTAAGAGTGTACTTGATTGTTTTACACTTACTAAATCCACAAAACACGCTCAAATACATATTAAAAACAACAATCAATCACTTACACTTGGCTGGCAAAGAAAAACATTTAGCCTGCTTGTCCTTCAAATTAAATGTCAAAATATATGGTAGTTTATTGAATGAAACATAAACATAAAATTATTGCGCCATTTAGCAGTGTGTCATTAGTGCATTGAATTTAAACTTAAATATTCAGTATAAATACATGGATGTGATATGCAGCTTTGAGAATGTTGATCTTGGTTTTGTCTCTACAGATGAAACACACTAGAGAGTTTTACTTGCTTTCTGCATTCTCTAGAGGCTGTTGGCACTGTTTATGGCATGAGTAAGATTAGCAAAAAGGCCACAAGACTGATTTCTTATTTAACCTGTGCATAATAATGGCACTTGAACAGCTGTGGTGTTATAGTGTTCTTTTTGTGAATAGTCACTAAGCTGATGACCAAGCGACTTAACTGTTTGAAACAATGACACTGAATAAAATTGATTAAAAATGACTCATTGTTGTTGTTTTTTTTATGTACAAAAGACTAATGTTTGTTTATCAGCTTGGCTAGCTCAAATCTTGCAACTGCAGAATCTTGGCAACTAGATTCTCTGCAAATGCCAAATGTAAAATCCCCAAACATTTATAAGAAAAATAGGTGGAAATTAAGGGAGTTTCAGAGAACAAACTCATTACAAATCAAGTCCTGATGAATTAAATATGAGGTATATTGTAAGTTATAACATTTTATTCATTATCCTGGATTTACAATGTGTTGACTATTATTTTTCTGTAAGTTGCTTATCTTATTTAAAGTGCAACCTGACACCAGTGAATCTCATGTACTTTAATCTCTACTTAGATCCATTCCTAAGACTCTGACACTTAAGGTATGGATCTGTTTGGCAAGTGCTTGTACACGTCGGTATATTTAATGTAAATTTACACAGAACATTGAATCTCATGGAATAATATTCCAAAGCAATCAGAGAGTCAGCGGCATTTTTTATAAACCACAATCTGAGGTAACATATATTGTTTGTCCAGCCGGCTTCAGATGTCCCTGTATCTCAGACAGCCATATGGCAAGTAGAGTTTCCATTAGAGACTACGAGAGAGCTCCTTAATCCAAAGGCCCAAGCACCTTGTCTGTTGGGGATTATGTCTTTCCAATTAACCTAAATTCTGTATTTTTCCCCTCACTGTCCATTTCACCTCATCTGTTTGTAAGCTTAAAGGGTGCAGATGATTGCCTGGCTAGATTAAGTGAATCATTTTTCTGTATGCACATTTTAATCTAGTTTAAAATGACAGTCTGAGCTTTTCCCTCATCATTTTGTTCACAGAACATTTCTTTAATACCATGTAATTCCCGAGATTTGTATTTGCCACTGCAATGAATTTCTCTCAGACATACCCATATTTGTTTGTTTTATCTTTGACTGATATCTGTTGTTTTTCAACTGACTGGTTTCAAGAGAATATTTTATTAGGTTTGCAGGCGGAAAAGCTGATTTAACATGCAGAGTTTTGTTTATACATGAAATTGAGATTTTTTGGATGACTTCAGTGCCCAGGTATAATTTAATTCTGGTAATATTTATATACTGTAATTTATTTACAAGTTACATTTATTTGTATATAAGAAGACTGTGTACCTTCACAAGTATTTAGGAAGTTAGTATATTTCAATTAATAAGTGGGGTTGAGTGGGCCGTAAATTTAAGAACTTCTCTATATACAGTAGTGGCCAAATATAATGTCCGGCCTAGAAAAATAGATATCTTCATCCTCTATTCAAACATTTTATTATAAAAAATGTTGTAAGCATTGTGTGAAGTTGTGCTTGGAGTGTAAAACTAATGTAAATGCATAATTGTTTTATTTGTAATAATGCAATGAAACATGGCAAATTGTGTCACACAAAGATGCATGACGCATGCACAAAACTTGGTGAGTACTGCTATGGAGAATATATATTCTGATATTTAATAATAATAATGATAAATTAATTAATTTAGATTTTCTGTACTTTAATTTTTTTTTTGCCAAATAATTTTTTTCAGTTAAATTTCTTAACCAAGTTCGTTTTTTTTTTTTTTTAATTTGCAGTTTTGTTTTTGCTTGGTCATATAGCACTGCAAGAACATGGATTAATGTTAATGTATCTTTACTTTCTTTACTTCAGGTGCGGGTGCACATCCACATATTTGGAGACCGGGCAGCTCATGGGATATGTCTTATTCAATATTTTAAACTGATTTTTTTTTGTTTGTTTTTTTGTGATATACACAATTTATGAGTAAAAGTCATGTTTAATATTCTCAGTACAAGCTGTCCAGTAGAACTAGGAATGTTTTTTTCTTTATTACATTCCTTGTCAAATACACTAAATCGAACTTTATCGTCCTAATAAGCTGAGGTAGACCACTATGTCTAATTCTGAAATACATATGATTATCGTTTGTGCGTACGTGCGTGTGTGTGTGCGTCTGTGTGTCTATGACGTCCCCCCCACGCTCTCATAACCCCGCCCAGCGGAGAGTGACGCTTGAACTAGAATGTCGCTAGTTCACCTCAGTTCCAGACATGGCAGCGTTGAGACAGGAGCATCGGTATGGACTCTCCTGTGGAAAGATTAATAAATGCATTCCCAATAAAACCATTTTTCACGTCAAGCTAACCGACACGGCCATCCGGACACTGGAGGCTTATAAGAATCTCAAGGTAACGCATTTAGTTTTATTTCGTGTTTATTTGCTCCACTGACATCAATGGAACAGAAAGAAAAGTTCAGAACTTCAAAACATTTCCTCCCGTTAGTTGTTTGTAAAGTGTTGATTTATTTAACCAGAGTCCGTCGCTTTAAGTGCCATATGCTGACTTACTAGGGACAGATAGTAACGGTAGGAAATCGGACACATCCAGTTCTTACTGTTCGTTTTATTTAGTTTTGCTTCTTTATTTTTTCTAAGCTGTTACAAAATAAAAGAACATGTCAGTCGTGTTATTATTAATATTTTTCTCGTTAAGCCAGTTGGAATTGGCTTTACGAAAGCTCCTGTTTTCCACTTTAGAGTCAAAGTCGCCGCTTTATTCCTTCTGGCAAATGATACGAAATAGAACATGGCACCGTCTTAATGCTAAACACTGCATTACTTATTATAATTATGATCATTTTAAACCGAAGATGATAATTGTTTCTTTGACTCATAACACTCACGGGGATCTTACGGTCTGAGAGGGGCTCAAGGCTCAAGCTCGATCTTATGAACTATAAACCTTGAGTAGCATTTAGTAATTGAGATAGCCTTTGAGATTGCTGCCTCTTCATTTCCCTATCAAATATTTTATTTGACTCATATTCGAGAGTAACGCCTCAATTTACAGCAAAGGTTTAGTGAACTAAAAAAAAAAGCGTATGTAACCTAGTGTTGTCTCTATATGTGGTGTTTAAGGTTAAGTTTATAATTGCTTCTTGAATTGATTAACTTAAATAGGCCTATGGAAATTGCCTGACATATATTAAATCCAAATGATGTTTTTAAATCACTATTTATGTTGTTACAAACCTCTACGACTTTGTTTCTTCCGCGGAACACAAAAGGAAGATGTTCTATTCAATGACAGCCTCAGTCCTCATTCACTTTCATTGTTGGGAAAAAAACAAACATGCAATGTAAGTGAATGGGGACTTGAACGAGGAATTACCTTTACGTGAGGCAAACATGACATTTAAAGGGATAGTTCCCCTAAAAGAAATGCTGTCATCTCATCCGCATGCTGTTTAAAACGCGGCTGACTTTCTTTCTTTCATAGAACACAAAAGGAAAGGTTAGTGACTGTTAGTGTCAGGTTAGTGTCAGCCACTAACCTTTCCTTTTGTGGTCTATGAAAGAAAGAAAGTCAGCCGCGTTTTAAACAGCATGCGGATGAGATGACAGCATTTCTTTTAGGGGAACTATCCCTTTAAATGTCATGTTTGCCTCACGTAAAGGCAATTAGGCCAGTGTCAGCCAGCTTTTCATTCTCTC